TGAATTGAACGTTATAACTTGTATATGTGAGTTAATATCTCACAATTATGGAAAAAGTCGTCAGAATTGTGAGACATAAACTGTGAGACAATTGCAAGAAAAAAAAAAGTCAGAAATGTGAGATAAAAAGTCTATTCTTTTTTTTTCTGTGGCGGAAATGGGCTTCCATTAAAAACATTACATCACTAAAAAAAGTTTATATAAAAACTACATTTTGTGCAATATAAATTTGTATATACATTTTTTTAATTTGTGTTGATTATTAAAATGAGTGTGTTGATTATTAAATTAATTTGATTGATTCATTGATTGATTATTAAATCTTATTAAAAAACTTTGTTTTAAGTTTTGGTTTTGGCTAAATTAAAACTGTAATTTCGGTTTCAGATTTTCTCTAAAAATATATTTTGGTGCATCACTAATTAATGCTAATTAATGCATACATTTCTGCTCATAATATATTTATAATTTTTTTATAATTAGTAGTAGTATATTAGTTAGTATATCAGTTTTTTTTTATTATTAAAAATGTTTTACTTTAGTTTTATATTTAATTTATTTAAATTTAGATTAAAATTGACCAGAAAGTGCTTGTTTCGAAATTCTTGAGATTTGGGTTTCTTTAGATTTTGGTCTAATGAGACCTGGCTATCCTGCTGCTGGTGTTGCCAATTATCACAAAAACCAATCATGAAAATGAGGTCAGAAAATGATGACTTATCTCGAACATTATTCCCACCTGCTTGCTTGACTTTTGCGGCTTGGTTCTCTCTGCGTGGCGATGGCTGAGGAAGTGCTGAGAGTGCGTCGAATTCCTTATTCCAACAAACACAAACATCCACTGAAAAGTGACCAAATATCTGAAAATCTACTGTTTTATTTGAAAAAGGAATGTCTAAACTGTCTTCAGTCTTAAAAGATTTGACAGAGGAGAGGGAATCAGACAGCAGACAACCGTAATGGCTCACCTGTGAAGGAATAGTTCATCCGAGACGAGGACAGCTCTGACAGACAGTCCACTGAGCCATGAATCCTGCTAGTTAAAACAAAGTGAATGTTCAGTGTTACTTCTTCCACTGCACTTTTACAACTGATGCTCTGCCAGAAAACTGTCAAGACACATTATTTTACCCTTGCGTATACTCTGTTAGCTGTTAAACAACAAATTTATCACTTCAAAACAGTTACAGTCACATGGGTTTATTTTGACAAATGCTTGTCAAAATTGTCATAAACAATTTGACATGTAAATGTGTAAGCAGGAACAAAACCACAGACCTTTGCACGTTATGACAGAAAAAATCATGGACAGGTAAAATTTTTGAAATTAACATCTTTGAAGTCAACACGAAATGGCACTCGAAACCCATTTTACATCCATAATGTGATGTATTTCAGACTGAAATAGTCTATAGGGAACTGATTGGATCGTGAATCTTGGTCGTTCCGTACCAGAACGGTGCCAGACTTAAATAGGAGTTTGCAGTAATTGTTGAAGACTATCCCTCTCCTGAAAAACTGCCAGCACCGCACATTGTCTTGACTGCCGGCATTCATTGAGGAAGCTTTTTTTTAAGAGGATGTGGTCTACTTCAGCATGCTACTCTGATATGTTCACAATTTAAAATATGACCATTTGAAATTCATGCTTTATTAACCATCCGACCAAAAAATGTCTGAAGAACTTAAAAAAAACAAAAAAACAAAAAACAAAGCCACATTATAGACTATTTACAATTATATAATAAATTACTATAAACAAAGTGTTTATATGGACTTAAACGCATATCAGCATATCTTAATAGTTATGCTTCTTTTTAAATGTACCATTATTTGCTATTACACCTGTAACCTTTTGTAGGTTATCTGAGCGAATCAGACAATTTAAAGGGTTAGTTCACCCAAAAATGAAAATTAGGCTGAGTTTTACTCACCCCCGAGGCATCCTAGGTGTATATGACTTTCTTCTTTCAGACGAATCCAGTATTTAAATAAAAATCGCCCATCCATAAAAAAAAGTGTCTCACATGGCTCCGGTGGGTGAACAAAGGCCTCCTGTAGCGAATCAATGCGTTTTTGTAAGAAAAATATCCATATTCAAAACATAATCACTTTAATGTAGCTTGCGCCAACAGTTGTACACAGAAGCAGTTCCGGGAGCATGACGTATGAGGTCAGCGTTGCGCATGCGCCGGTGAGTCTCGTGAAAACCAACGTTTGTTTACAGGATCAAAGGAAGCAACGATGCATTTTTGTAAGAAAAATATCTATATTCAAAACGTAATAATCACTTTAATGTAGCTTGCGCCAGCAGTTTTACACAGAAGCAGTTCCGGGGGGATGACGTATGAGGTCAAAACCAACGTTTGTTTACAGGATCAAAGGAAGCAATGTTTCCTTACTTTAGCAAAGGAAAACCAGTCTCCTCTTGGCTTATATCGAAATCCTCCGACATTCTTCTTTACAAATCCTCGTTTTGTACTTCTAATTAGTTACCGTTGTTTTGTTTTGATCTCTCCGCTGCGTTTCCGTGTGTGTCACTTCTGAGCGGCGCATGCGCAAAGCCGACCTCATACGTCATTCCCCCCGAACTGCTTCTGTTTACAATAGTGAGCGCAAGCTAGATTTTTCTTACAAAAACGCATCGATTCGCTACAGAAGGCCTTTGTTCACCCCCCGGAGCCGTGTGAG